CGGTTCAGACTGTCGTATATACAGTTATTGAGAAATATCACCGCATTTCCGCATTGTTGAGTTTGTAACTAAGTTTTTCAATTTTCCGAACAATTATTTTATTGATATTAATCAATTTATTTAAATTAACAATACAATTTCTAATTATTTTAGACTGCATTTTTCATATATACATTCACATAAAAGCTTTTTTCGGTAACCTCTACCATCATCAGTGTAACAGTGTTTGTGATATTGTTAAATGTAATTCGTCTGGTATTTATAGTAATTGTAACAAAGGAACTCAAAGTTCCATTGTTTTTTGTGTTAGTAAATTCTTTGTTGGTAGGATCGTTACAGCCTGTTGTTGGATGAATATTACAGGGTTTCTATTTTCTATTAAAAAAGCCTCTGCAATTAGAAAATACATTACGGTCTTTAATTTTGTGCATTATGACTCTTCATGTATATATGCATATACTGTTGTAATATATAGAGGTATTTGAAGTTGTTATAACATTAGTGTTGGCAGTAGATTTTTATAATCCTCTATGGTATAAAATGATTCTATGATTTACAAATAGCGAAGATAACAAATACAACAAGATAACAATATAATTAATTATATCGCGTAATTCGACCATTCCCGCGGTTATAACAATTTATACATACTATGTTCAATCAAGTTTTATCTTGATATATGCTTAGTTTCTCGTGTACACAAGTGCCTGCATTCACCCCACAACCGCACGCACGTGCGCTAATATTTTTAAAGTCAATAAACTTACAATAAGAATAAATGGCGGAAAAATTGTCACAAAGAAATATATTGTCGCATTTTGAAACATTAAAAATAAGTGATACTTTCTTCGTTAGCCTAATAGAAGTAATAATACATAGTAGTAACTGAGAATGTAGTAGTAATCGTGTTATTGTGCGTGTGTGTGTGTGTGTATGTATTTTTACTAGTAGGAATGAACTTGAATTGTGAGTACGTTAGGATTGTTAGTACTGTTACCATCAGCATTTGTAATTGTGAGGAAATTAGTAAGAGAAAAAGCAGTAACACCAGAGGTAGTATTGGCAGTTATATTTGTTGTAATGTTAATAAATGCAGTAGTGTATCATTCAGCAGTGTTACAACAGAGATAATGTGAAACCATTTTGGAGAGTATCTCATATGGAAACATTAGAAATCTAAATGGCTCTCGGAAGACAAGACCGACGTAACATCACTGACTAGACAAACTTAGAAACATTTTTAAAACATAACAACCATTGAACGCAGCAATTATAATAGAACAATATTCTTTCAAGATTTTTTGCAATGAGAAAATGCTGCGAAAATAGTAAAAGAAAAAAACCTTCAAAAATTGTCTAAAAATGAAATTTTAAAATATTTTAAAATTTGAAATTTTAAAATATGAATTTTAAAAATACGAGATTCATTCCAGATCTTGTTGACAATCTAATTGCAAAATTTTTGTTTAAAGTTTTATGTACTGGTATTTTAAATGCTTGAAGAAAATTTATCAAGTAGTTCGTTTTAACTAACCAACAAATTTGTGACTGAACCATGTATGTGTTAATTCATTTGTGGAAGTTTTTTTTCAGTTTATTACAATATTGAACTTATAAATACTTGGTTTTTGTGAGAATTTTTAAAATTGTCAATATATAAATGTTTAATATTGATGTTTAAATGGTTGCTAAAAATAATTTGATAGCTAGGAAGCTTAAACAATTTCAGCACAGTTTTAAAACGAAACTTCGCACATAAACAATATATTAAAATTGCTTTTAACAAATCCTGGTTGGACTGATAGCCAATTTTTCCTTTGAGACTACTCAATAATTAATGGAATTCTCGTCTTTCCAACAATCTAATAATTAATTTATAAATGATTCAAGTTGTTTGTTATTCTTGTACTTTTCATACTTAACTCCATTTTTAACTTTACTTAACTTAACTCCATTTTTATTATATGAATTATTTCTTAAAAAGTTGAACATTATAATAATATATTTAGCCTGCGTGTCTTACGTGAATTAATGTGACTGTTGATTTCTTCTATTGAAGTTTTCAATATCGTTTTCGTTCATAATTTTTCCAACTAAAAATTTTTGCTCCCGCGCAAATGTAAAAACAGGAAGTAAAATATATTCTTGGTGACTTTTGCACGATTGAGTCCAACAACTACATCCTTCTCCTAGTAGAACGAATTCTCATAAAATGTTTTTCACATTCCAGAACTATTTTATCAAACGGAAAGACAAGCCATCTAGAGACATCTATGCACAACACAGCACAACACACAACGTTTAGAGAGCCATGGAAAAATGTTATTAAACGGAAGTTTTGTTGTTTATAGTCATCCAGACCGACGCCGTTTGCATAAAACTGGCGATACATTCCCCGAACATCACTCGCGGATGATAATAAAAAATTCCATTGACATATTTTACTAATATAGAAATAATAATAATATAAAAATATTTTTTTATTTTTCCAGATAAGATTTTTGTTTGATGTTTTCCAGAATATCTATGTTTCTCTTTCATTTAAATTAATTTTCTATAGTTTGCATTGCATCTAGCAAGGCAGGCTGACGGGTTTATAAGTTTAATTCCCAGATTTATATTTTTAAAAATTTTTTCCAAGTAAGTCAGTTTGATTATATTTGTTTCCATTTAAAATTATTTGTTTACTTTCATATTGAATTATTTGCACTTGTTCATCAGAAGAAATATCCATACCGGTACATAATATTGTTGCGTATCTTAAAAAATATGCAAGAGTTTGTATGGTTTGTATTGTTTGATACCTTAAAAAGTTGTTATCCTCTGGTTGTAATTTTTGGTTTTGAGACGGAATATTCTTTCAAAAAACTATGTTGATTGGTCAACAATTATTTGCTGGCTGAGTATTTGATGGCACAAAACTGCCAAATAAAAATAACAGCTAATGGATTAAAACAATTTATTACATAAATGTAGACTATAATGTATAAATCCCATCAGTATTTAATAACAGGTAATAAAAATGTCAGCCAATAAACAAGTAAATATACTCTAGAACTAGAAATCGGATGTTTGGTGTCGTTCTTAAATGCACTTAAACATAGAGATGGGGAGGTTGGAGTCGTGAAGATATGGCAGGTTCTTCGCTGGTATCAGCTTCGTTCAAATTCTTCAATGTAAAATTTCTTTCTTTTACTCAATTGTTCAATTCCTATTTGGCATATATAAAGTGCCAAACATATAAAACACTAATGGCGTTCTTCAACAGAAGAAGGTTTCAATTAAATTCTATTAAATTTAATAATAAACATTTTAAATTTTTTCAATCTATTTAATTTCGGCCGTTTTCAAGATTTATTTTTCAATCCTAAATTGAATTGAATACTCCTATGTCTCCTGAGTCTGTTTGATTAGCGGCTGCTGATGACATTTTAAATGTGCATTTTTTGAAGGTCATTTTTATTGTTTTTAGTTTTATGGTTTTAATTTCATGCTCTAAAATTTAATTTACTACAAGAAAGTAAGTGAGGCGCGAAACCTGCCGAACAAAATGAATATTTCTGTTTGGGTTTGTTTAGATTGAGATGCTTGAAAAGTAGTAAAATTATTTCGAACATCCACGTACCACAAATTTTAAAAAAATTTTAAGTAAAAATTTCTCAATATATTTTTTACCTCTGAGTAGTCGTCTCAGTCTTTTTCACTAAAAGTTATAAAAGTTGTCGCCGTGGAGATCATAAATCATCTCCATGTCAGAAGTTTGATGTCAAAAACATGAAGTTATTTTTTTAATATTTGCTTTTAAATTTTTTGAAATTGAAAAAATTTGTTTAAAAAAGGGAAGCTGAACATATTGAATGAAAATTTCATATAATTTGACAAAAAAGCCCAGCTAAGCAAATTATATTATTAGAGAATCAAATATTTTTATAAATGGTGTATCGGAACCTCGAGTCCATTTTTCAATTAAAAAAATGGACCAAATATCTGTAACTTTCATTCTTTACTAAATCACTTGAACTTACAATACTCAAACTTATAGAGATTAAAAATAAAAAATAAATTTTTTGAAGGAAATATTTCTCAAAAGGATGTACAACACAAAAAGTGAAAAATAATATTCATATCTACGTTTGTGAAAGAGTGCATTCATCGAATATTAGGAGTTGAACGCACGTGAAAAACTTTTTAATTACATAATACAGGCCAATATGATTTTATGAAGCGTGTTTCAAAAAAAAACAATCACAATTCTCAAATAAATTTCAATATAACATAGTCATAAATTGAACTGATGTTGATAATTATTTGATGATACCATTCTTATATGGTTCTCAATAGTACAAATCATTTTAATTTGAATTTATTTCTCAACGCGCTGTTTAAATATAGTTAAAAAAATAGTTAAAATTGTTGGTTACGTACGTGCAACGCATATATAAGCATATATGTGTAGTTACATTGTATGTGTGTTTTCAACTTTTGAATATGAATATTTATTTTGAACGATCAAACAATCAATTGTTACGTATTGTTACGAGTTTACCGATGGATTCAATAAAATACTTCCAAACTAATCAGTCCAATGACTGAAACGATTGATTGTTTCATTCGCTGTCGAGAGACATGGATGGAATCCTGCCTAGCAACCAGTAAGTCACCATTGCTCCCTTACCCTGCAGTATTTTTAAGACAAGTATTCGGAATTAAATATAGTAAAACAAATTTACTGATTAGACTGGCCAAGTATTGTCTAAGCCTTGCGCCTACCAGCTCAGGTAATACTCATTACACCTTCATGATGCAACACGTGCTGGTATTAGTTGACGTTGCGGTGTGAATAATTTCAAGTACACCTACCTCTTGCTGCAGTTTCCTTAATTAAATATCTCACATAGTTCGTAACATTTTTTGATTGATGAGCACTTGAAATAAAATTAATTTTAAATTTTACAAAATATGATGCACCATGTTAATATCTAAAACATTAAAGCTGATGTTTAAAGCAATAGAATGATGTTTAAAACATTTAGGTGACAATTAAAACATTGCGAATGGATGCTTAAAACTGTACATACCTTCACATTGATCTCGCCTCTGAGCTTGGTTTCAAATCCTCCAATTTTTTGCAGGGCGCTGTCTGTGGCCTGACTGATATGGATGCGATGGGCTGAAATTTTTTTTATTAATTATAATTATATGCTTGCAATGCATCTGTAGATTCTTGCGACATTCAATAATGAAGTTTAATGGAGCAGTTCATTCGTGACCATGTCGTGTGGAGTTCATTATAAATTTTAACTTCAATAAGTTAATTATAGAACAATATGATATTATTTGTGAAATTGTTGAGACATATAAAGTTGACAAACGAAGTCCGTTGGACTGCATTCTCGAGGCCGTGTTGACAGTGTCGCCGAACAAGCAGTAGCGTGGCATCTTGTTGCCCACAATGCCGCCAACCACGGGACCTGCAGACATCATTCCATACACCATAGTCAGTCACAATAAGTTTCAAATTAAATTTTGACCATTTTTTTCAAATGTTTACAATACCACGCTAAACAAAAACTTTGGAAAAAATTTTTTTCTTAGCATGGAAAATATTTTGCTTCACGTTTAAAACAATTATAATGTGGTTTTTTTTTAAATCTTCTGTATAAAAGTTTCGCGTTGAATTCCAAAATTGGGCTTTTTTGAGTAACACTGTAACTTCAAGAGCCATACAAATCGGCGATAATGTTTGAACAAATTAATATAATGTTTGAACCGCTTTCTAGTCACAATTTCATGTAGTTTATAAATATTTTTGTCTGAAATACGGCTGCAAACAAATTTTTAAAATTAGTAGAACAATTTTCAGAACACAATTTAACAATAAAGTCTAAATGATCTAATTTCGATAAAATGATGGGCAACGAACCTGTGTGCACTCCAATGCGTAACTGGAGCTTGTGAGTTTGCATGTGGGGTATGACGAATTCATCACAGGCCTGTATAAGGTCGATTGACAACCTGGATATTTCAGCACAATGCCTGTCTCCATTGCGGCTGGGAATGCCACTGGACACCATGTACACGCATCCTATCGTTTCAACCTGACGAAACAAATCTCAACCAGCTGTAAATTTTGTATCTACATTTATATTTATTTATTTTATTACCTTATACACGTCGTATTTCACTATTTGACTATCGATGAAATTATAGACATCGTTTAGAAAGCGCACAATATCAATAGGCGCACTATTTATAGAGATTTCAGTGAAGTCGGCAATGTCACTGAAGAAGACTGTCACACATTGAAACTGTTCAGCACAGATCTGCTCTCCTTTCTGCAAACGATAGGCCATTGATTTTGGTAACATTTCGTGAAGGAGTTTTTCCGTTTTTCGTTTTTCTTTTCGGATTTCCAAACTTTTGATCTCGGTCATTCTAACGTAGCTTCGCAAACTGTTAGCGGTATATAAAGAGCTGAAATAACTTAAAGGTAGGGTTAAAAATACTATTACAAAGAGAACGACAGCGTGCAATGCAATGAGCCACTTGGTTTTGATGAGTTTGTATCCAACATATGTCAACGTTTGTTGTCTCAGCGACTCAAGAAGCAGATCAATAATCTGAATGTTGTACTGACTTTTGGAAACCCAGTTTAGTCCTTTAAGAACATTTGTTTCGTTCAAAAATTTGTTATTTGATATCTCATCTTTCATCTCTTTTAACGATTGCCAAAATTTTGTCAAGTGCGCCTGTTTATAGTCCCAAACTGATTTTATAACTTTATTTATGGGAAGCAGATTTACCAACTCCTGGTTAATAATTTCATTGTTTTCAATAAACATTATCCATTCTAAGTCATCCAGATATCCATTAAAATAATACAGCATGCCCAGAACTTCAGTCTGACCACAGTGAGTCATGATGTTGAAGAGTATGTTACCGACAGTTGAAAAAGAAAATATGTGATCATTTGTTTTTAGAAATAAATAATTTGTTGTTGCTTCACCAATTTCAAAAATGAGTTCACCGTAAGAATCAATAGCTGAGGTTGTTCTGCTGTTTTTCAGATCTATTTGCGCCAATCTATGCTTGCTTAACTCATAAAGCAAGTCATTTTTGCTAGCTATGTATTGCAAGTTGTTTGGATTTAGCATAAATTCATTACGAGAGCCCAAACTCTGATTAGTCGTCTCGTAGATTTCTTGGAGAGATTTGTACGAGTTTTGAGATGAACTTCTCGACATCAGTTCAACAACCTGTGTCAACTCAGCTTGCAGTGCAACGATGGCGACTCGCGAGTTATCCAGTGGCTCGTAAATTGTTAAATAATTTGAAAGACTTCGAAGTTCGTTAATTTTTGCGTTTAATTCAATAATAGAATAAACAACAAGAATCAAACTCGGTAGGACAGTTAGACCGGAGGAGCAGAGCAGCTGTTTAATGTATCCATAATTTGAAGAAGGATCTATGTAGCATTCGAAAAAATTTCTTGTTCTAAACTTATTCAATGCCTCGTTTTGATTGAATTTTTTTTTAATTTTACGCCAGTTTAACATTTTTTAGTAATATAATTAGTTTATTTTAGGTAAACCCGAAATAAGTAAGTTTATTTTTTAATTTTATTGTGGCGACGTTGTGCAAGTTTGAATTGCTTATAAGCTCCAATCTGGTACGGAAGATTAACATTAATTACTCTCGCCACACTCAAATTTTAATTAACGCACCTGCAAGATTCCTTTTTATGTGGGTAGTTGAAATGTATGCGCTGTGCTGTGCTGTATATTCTGCGTCTCTCTTCCTCTGTGTTCAGTAACTATGCGACAGTCATTTTTTATTGAAATAACTGGAGGATATTTACTTTTTTTAAACCTTCCCAATGTTCGTGTTTCAAAGTTTTTATTTTATTTACATGTCGAAGAAGTTTTATTTCCCAATATTCGTGTTTCAAAGTTTTTATTTTATTTACATGTCGAAGAAGTTTTATTTCAACAACCAAAAATATTACAAAATTATTGTTGAAATTTGAGAGAAAGAGATAGAGAGAAAGAGAGGGCGAGAGGGAGGGAGAGAGAGGGAGATTAATGACAAAAATTCATACAAATATCAAACTCTATAGAGTAGACGACGTACCTAGTTGAAGTATCGGACCACTATACATTCAAATAAATATTATATGAAGTTAATATACAATTAAAAAAACGGAGAGTACATGTAAATAAGCGGATGAAAATATTTCATGGTGTGTTTAAAAGAACGATGGAAACGCCGTTGAAAAAATGAACTAAACAACACCTAACAAAATTAAAAACGAATTTAAACTATTTTAAAACATAAACATTGTGTTTCTTTTTCAATAAATGTGCAATTAACGTGACGATGACGAGAAAGAACCGGCTCTACAGACGGCAGACAAAATTAAAACTTTAGCGACGCGTGTCGAATGCGACTAAACAAAATTTAAACTACAAAGTTGGTTGGCGGATGGTGATAGATGATAAGAATTTTTTATGATTTAAATTGACGATAGTCGTAAATGAATCAACTGATAATAAAATATTGATACAAATGAATATGCAAGTCATGTGGGAGGGTATTGTGGGGTTATCTCAAAATATGACTTCGTAAAGAGTGGCCTTCTTGTCTCCAGAACCTGTGACGATGTACTTGTCATCCATCGATATGTCACAACATAGTACTGATGAGGATTCTTTCGACTGTTTTTCAAAAATATGTTTGAACATAAAAAATTATTGAAAAAATATCGAAATTATAAAAATCTTCATGAAAGGTTTTTAAAAGTCGCATAATTTCTCAACTAAACAATAAATCAAAATAAAACTAGAAAAGAACGATAAAACCAAAAAAAAAGAATTAATATAGCAGCATTTTTTTTACACATCTGCGAAACAGTCCCGACCTGAAAAATACTTGCACCGTACGGAGTCCTCCAGGCATTCAACAAATTGTCCTTCCCAGTGCTGGCAAACCACTTCCCACAATAAGCAAACTTCAGTGAGAGGACACAACTTTCGTGCAGATGGAGTTGGTACTTCTCTGGTTTCGTGTGGTGTAGGACCTCCACGTTACTGCTCTCCATTCTGTGAACGTTGTTCGATGTCATTATATGACACAGTAAACAAATTGCTGGAGGTTATAAACGAATTTGAAGCTTATGAGCTGAATTTTTAGTTAGAAAGCTTAATATAACAATATTGAAAATAGCTAAAATATAAATGGAGACAATTCAAAATTCATCGAGACCAACCCAACAGCCAGCCAATCGCCAGTGGGACAATATCCAAGAGAAAATATTTGAGAAGCAAAATCGTGTTGTTGGAGTTGTCGGCCCTCCCTCAAGTCCCAGGATCTCATGGAATTGTCTAGTCCGCCCGTCCACAACTTGTTGCCATCAGGCGAGATGTCGATGCAACTGGCTCCGTCCGTGTGGCCCTGGAATTGTCTGTGCGGTCGTCATCATTTTGTGTTTTATATTTACGTACATCTACAACTTGTCATGAAAATAATAATTTTTATAACAATTGATGAATCAAAACAATTATTCAACCAGTTAACCTAATGAGCTTTTGATTGTGTAAATCCCAAACGGCAATGTTTCCATCGCTGCAACAGCTGAAACAAATCTTTCCTTCGGGACTGAGCGCCAGTGCGTAACAGGCAGGGGCGGTTGATGTCAACTCAGCTTTTATGCGCGGACTCGCCTGGTTCAACGCGGGAAAATAAATTTAAAAATTAAAAAAGAATGCAGTAAATGTTTTTATGGGTTGTTGTCTTCATTCAAAAAATATACCACGAACAAAACAAAAGAGTTGAGAATGTGCGTAAAATTGAACATAACTGATGAATGAAGGAATTAAGAAATGAAGAAATTGATGAATAATTCAATAATTAAGAGAATAAATTAGTGATTAAGAGAGCTAAAAACTAGTAAATAAATAAGGAAAAAAATTACACAAATGAAAAAATAAGCAAACGAATGAATGAATGAATAAATAAATGAATGAATGACAGACCGAAGCCAGGTCCCATATGGAAATAGTGCTTGCCTCACCGCCGACGACCAGCGTGCGACCGTCCTGAAGTAACTTCACAGAGCGAATGTAGTTGTCTCGTTGCTAGGCGGTAGGGTGGAAGTTGTTGGAAGATTTTTTTATAATTGTTCTAATAACACAAAAAAATAATATACTCTCGTGTGTAAAATAAAATTATACATTAAAACTCAATCATTCATGTTAAAAACTGCGATGATTGCCCGAAGCTCTCGATATATAAAATATCTAAAGTTCAAAAAAACTTAGCTTTTAATTCGTCAATAAATGTACAACTAAATTTTCGTTAGGCGTTTACATCTTAAATTAATGTTCAGCAGGCTTTGCTCTAAAAAGCTTCATATACCTAACCATTCCAAAATTTTGCTTTTTATAAAAAGAATGAATTTCTGATCTATTATCAAAATTGAGGTTTGTCTACTGCTGATTCAAACGATTTATAAAGCCAACAGTTTTTTCATTTGATGATGAAAATTTCATTAAACTTTTTGAACGTATGGAACAAATTTGAAATAATTTAATTTTAACTTTGGCGCAAGTTCTGTACAAAACTTTATAAGACAACAACATTAGCTTTGCAGTTTCGTATAACAAAGGTACTTACTTATGCCTGAGGTTATACCGTTACAATTCAATTTCCCTTCCGGTGGTTCTCGTGCAAAATTTGAATTAATTGCAAATACTCTATGTAAGGCCACGATCATTAAAAAAGTTAATTAACTAGAAATAATCTAGTATTAATCAACAATAGCAACTGCTATACTACTACTACTACTACTACTACTACTACTACTGCTACTACTACTACTATTACTACTACACTAAACTATAATAATGGGAACACTGCTTTTATTTTATCAAATATCACAAAATGAATATAAAGATAGATATAAAATAATGTTTAATATAATAAAGTATTTAAATTAATAGGCTGTTAGTCTAATTTGCTCATCACTCGACAAAAATGAGTACAAATAGAGGATTATAGTCAATAAAAATATTCCTATCGCAATATATTGAGTAAGATGATGATAACACAGAGTTTATTAAATTGTTTCTAAAATCGTTCGACCAAATTAAGTTAACCAGCGATAAATTAAAAGTATTGTAAAAACCCATTGTAGAAATTTCAAATGTTTTAATTAAAAGTTTAAAATTATTGTATTCACTCTTTAAATTATGTTGAAGGGCTTGAGAGTACTTTTCAATTTTGTATTCTTTAGATTTTTTTAAATTTGTTTCGTGGCATATCGTTAGTTCTAAAATCTCGATCGTGTCGTCGCGGACCAGTGCTATATCAGGGCGCAGAGATTTAAACAGCGTTGATACTGGACGAAAATCTTCACACTCCAGATCGGCAAACAACGAGACTTCCAAACTTGCGCATTTTTTAATATTTTCTAAAACTATTGAGAGAACTTTGTTGTGACGATTTGAATATCTTTTCAAAGCTGCAACGGAGCTAAAGTTGGACAAAACATGCTTGTTTGTTTGATAAGCGTCACATAGTGGACATTGTGGTTTAGACGTTTTGCCCCATCTTGCTAGGTTGGAGTTTGTTGGAAGTTGTTGAATGATACTTTTCCTAATAAACTTGTAAATAACCTCTGACTGTGTGGCCGTAGACCTTGACCAGCGAACTATTTGATCTGATTTGATGTTTTCCCTCACTGTCTTCAACCCTATTTCTTGGGAGCTTAGTGATGATAAATGGTCGAACACCTTTTCTTGCTGTTTGAGCTTCAAATCATGGAGAGTGGGATTTATATCTTTGGTGACTGGGAGCAAGTTGTCTATTTTTGTGTAGTCATTAAATGACTCGCTCCACAGACTTTTCATTTCTTCGTTACCGTTAGATTTAAGGTAGTTGCGAAGCTTCACTCTCAATGATTCAGCATAATGTTTCAGGAATCTGATGTTCAGACCTCCCAATTTTACAGCAGTGAAAGAATCTCAGATAGACAGCTGCTTATCGGTAAAGCCAGCCAAGTTCTAACGGCATTGTTAATCAATGGATCCAACTTGCTGGCAATCCATGACAGTGATATATCGTAAACTGCCTTCGAACATCGATATATCGATGTTCGAAGGCTACTTGAGCTGGGACAAAACGACGTAAAATTTGAAGTTTCCACTGGGCTGTGGTGTCCAGACTTGAAATCGTTGACAACATGCCTTGTAATTTGTTGAGCAGCAAATCTTTAGCTTTGGAATTGTTGCATTCGAAATCGTATAATTTACCTAGATATTCGAAATGGTCACCAATGCGCATCTGCGGTACAGGGGTGTCATCAATTGTCAACCTCGGCAGGAATTGTTCGTAGTAACCATTTTTCTTCCTCATGCCGAACGTGCAGCGTTTATCTATCCTCATTTTCATCCCGGTAGCTTTGCACCAAGCTTTGTTTAAGTCAATTAATTTTTGGGCACCTTCTGTGCTGTTGGCGATGATTGCTAAGTCGTCAGCAAATTGGAACCATGCCCTTGATTTTAAATAAGCTGAAGGGCCCCAAATGTAACCACATTGCTGGTATTCTCTGCCTTCTAACAATTTCATGAGTGGATTAAAACAAAGGTTGAACAGCAACGGTGACGCAGGATCACCTTGTAGTACACTACGCTTGACCGGGATCGGAGGAGTTAGCTTTTCGCACCCAGAGACCGATATCGAATAATCTGTGTATATGAATTTTATTAAATTGGTTATCGCTGGTGGTATATGATGGTAATTCAGAGAAGCTGAAATAAGGTCATGACTGACTTCGCCAAAAGCGTTGCGAAGATCCAAAAGTGAGACGATGACTGTTCTTTGGTGCCTCTTTGCATCTTTGAGCATATGAGTTAATAATTGAGTATGCTCTGCCAAACCATCTACTTTTGGATAGAAACCTTTCTGGATATTTTTATTAATGTAATTGTTGGATTCTAAAAATTTGTATATTCTGTTGTTGATGAAAAATTATTGGTCTGAAGTTGGCAGGGTCATTGGCGTCACCTTTTTTGTGAATTAAAATTGAGAACCCTTTTTTCCAACTGGATGGAATCGTTGATGATGACCAACATTTGTTTAGAAGTTGATGAAGGATTGTACCTAGAATCGGACATTTTTTGAAGGGTATCGTTGAAATCTGGTCAAGAGGGCATGGAGATGCTTTAGATTTGCATTTGCGAATAATTGATGAAATTTCTGCATATGATGGTGGATTTATATTAAATGGTATCGCAGGTTTTTGAAGATTTTGTATCCAATTTGGAAGGTTGAATTTATTGTTTGGAGAATCACTTAAAATTGAATGGAAATATTTCTTGCATTCGTTAGAATTAAATTGAGGTGACAAACTTGTTGAATAGCGATTTGCATGTTTTCCAAAACCGTTGTTTTAGTTGCGTTGAGATGTCATGCGTTTTTTCATTAGGTGCCGATTTTTTTGACTTTAATTTAAATCGAATAGCTTAACTTTTTTCGCTAATTTGTTTGTCGAAGTTATTGTTGTTGTGGCCTAAGAACTTGAGTTGTTTTAACTCTTTTTTTAAAATTTTAACTGATTTATTCGAATTATTTCCTTTCATGGTGGATGGGGATTCAATTATACCATAATTTGTGGCGAAATAATTGTAGATAAAATTTTGAAATTTGATCGTGTCGTCGTTCAAGTTGCCAAAATCTGTGAAATCGCTTCGATGGATTCAAAAGTAGTCGTTGGCTTCGGTCCATTCTGCCTCTGTTCTTGGCAATTTGACTCCCGGAAGCAATGATTCAGATGTATCGACATCAGTTGATTCTGTTGACGTAGACGACGGATCAGTGTCGGATGCTGAAGCGGAGGTTGGCAGCCGTGGCGAAGAGGGTGAACTGGAGCAGTCATTTTCATGGTTTGATTTTTTATTTGTAACTCTCAGTGTTTTGAACATTTTGCATGAACGTTGATGCATTATAAGACCTCTTCGGCCTTTGCAATATTTCCCGCAACAACATAACGATAAATTATCTACATTATTTGAATTAATATTACAGAAATTAGAGTTAATATTGTTAGAGCTATTGTTTACGTTTAAGTTTGGAGATACAGATGCGGTAATAACAGTAGAAATATTAACATTTGAGTTTGTATTTAATTTTGTACAGCGCCAGGAATGTCTACCAATTGATACAAATGATTTATTACAGTGAATACATATAGTAGCCATATTTAAATTTATGAACCAGATATTTAAAAACCCGATATTTTTTCGATAAATTAAACTATTAAAACCGAAATAAAACCAATTTAAATTAAAACTACAACATTCTAGAAATTTTTCCGAATAGAATGAACCTATTTTTAAAAACCAATTACGACAATAAAAACATAAACTATGCATAAAAACAGTGAATTGCACCAATCGGCCAACTCTCTTGTAATATACCCGCATAATCGTAATAATAATAATAAAAATGAAAATAATAAAAATAATAATAATAATAATAATAACAGCAATGGCAATATTTAAAAACAGTAGACATAAATCATCATAATAAAGGAAATAGCGCAAAAAAATAAAAACGATTCATATAAAAGAATAAAATAAATATTTATGTGCGAAATGAAAATAGCGAGGAATAAAATAAAAAGGGAATGGATAATATGGAGTAAGAAGAAATGCAATTAACCAGACAGTCTAATGTAGATATGGGAGTTTTGTTGTTGGTCGGGTGATTGATATCCCAGACTTTGACGCAACCCTGAGTTTATGTTTAAATGCAATTTATATGCCTCTATTTCTCCATTTATGTACGTTTATTTGTGCTTTCTTGTATGTTTGCATGGCTATATGTGTGGGATTATTAATACAATGATATGTATGTATGTATGTATGTATGTATGTATGTATGTATGTATGTATGTATGTATGTATGTATGTATGTATGTATGTATGTATGTATGTATGTATGTATGTATGTATGTATGTATGTATGTATGTATGTATGTATGTATGTATGTATGTATGTATGTATGTATGTATGTATGTATGTATGTATGTATGTATGTATGTATGTATGTATGTATGTATGTATGTATGTATGTATGTATGTATGTATGTATGTATGTATGTATGTATGTATGTATGTATGTATGTATGTATGTATGTATATGTATGTTTTGAAAGTTAAATTTTGATGATATTCAGCCGCAGAGCCCACCTTGCCGCCAGTGTAGATCTGCCTACATGGATTGCTGACAGTAACAGCGCAGACGACGTCGCCGTGGTTCAGCGTGTTCACCTGCCTGGCATGCCTCGGAATGCCCGGACCCACCAAGGCGTCTGGCGGGAAAGGAACTGGCTGCATCTGTCCGTCTGCACTCACGTGGAATGAGTAGGCTCTGTGGTGGGGTGGTTGTTGGTGGTAGTGAGTTGTTGTTGGTGGTGGGTTGTTGTTGGTGGTGGGTTGTTGTTAGTGGTGGGTTGTTGTTGGTGGTGATAGTAGATTGTTGTTGTTTGTAGTGGTGGTTGGTTGTTGTTGGTGAGTTGTTTTTGGTGGTGTGTTGTTCTTAGTGGTGATAGTGGGTTGTTGTTGTTAGTGGTGATAGTGGATTGTTGTTCTTAGTGGTGGTGGTTGGTTGTTGTTGTTGGTGAGTTGTTGTTGGCGGTGGTGGGTTGTGTAATGGGTGATGGTGTTGTTTTCGATGGTGGTGTTGATGAGGATGATGTTAATGAAGAGGAAGAATATGATGAAGAGGATAATGTTAATTATAATGATGATGATGTTTATTACAATGATGAAGATGCTTAAGTAATGATAAGTGTGATTGATTGATCGATTGATCGATCGATCGATCGATCGATCGATCGAATGA